TCTGCTCCCCACTCTGACTCTGGGGAGTCCTCTGACCCCCACGCCTCTGGCCTGCACCTCAGTTCTTGGATACCTAAATAAAATACATCTTTAAAAAAAAAAGAAAGAAAAGAAACTACACGAAGAAAGGGCCTCGCTAGTCTCCCTCAGCTACGAAACAGCGCATGGAACCCACTCGGCAGGCGGGAACTGGGTCTGCAGAGCTGTGACTTCCCAAGCTCACGCGGCCGAGGGGAGCCCGCTCAGGCTCACACGGAGCCCCCAGGGCCTCGACCGAGCTCCAAGTCTGGGGCCCCGGGGGCTGCTTTCTGTGACAGTTCTGCGCAGAGGAGCAGGACAAGGACGCGTCGGCGGCAGGCTGAAGGTCAACCCCTGGCCGGCAGCCCCGAGCGCTCACCTCGGCAGTGCGCCCCCTCGTCCGAGCCGTCGGCGCAGTCCTGGACGCCGTTGCAGAGGTGGGACATGTGGATGCACAGCTCGGTGCCCAGACAGTTGTGCTCGTTTGGCTGACATCGCTGGGCCTTGCTCTGTGGGCCTGCGGCAGACGGAGGGTCACACGACCAAGCCGGCTAGGGGGCCAGAGGTTCTGGGGCGGGGGCGGTGGGGGCGCGGAGACTGGGGTTTTAGATCCCAGGGGGACTCGGGCTGGCGAGAGTCCGGCTTAGACAGGCCTGCCAGGCTCCTGGAGAAGCGCAAAGGGGGAGGCCGGCGAGGACTCCAGCCCCCTCTGCTCGCACCCCAACGCCAGGCCAGGGTTAGCGGTGAAGGGTCTCCTTCCCACAGCTGCCCCGGGCCAGGGGCCAGACCGCCGGACCCCGGCTGCGCACCAGCCCGACACGGCGACACCCCAACGTCAGCAGTGCAAACCAGGGCGGGCGGCGCCCTGACCACGCTGTGTGAGGCCCGAGTGACATGTGGAACAGTGGGTAACGTGAACCTTAGGTTACTTTTACCTCTTTTTGAATGGGGCTACTAGAACATTTTGAAGCTGCTTCTGTGGCTTGTGTTCGTGTCTGAGACAGCACTGGCCCGACCCCCCAACCTGCCGCCTGCCTGATGGGAGGACGTGGGGCGCGGCTAAGGCCGTGGCCCACCGGCCGAGTCTTGGTTCGTCTTTGGTTGCCCAATTAGAGGGGCTGGAGAGCAGAGGTCTCGGGAGACCCGTGGGGGGCTGGGCGAGGGCGCCGGGGCCAGGCCTCTAGCTCCGTCTGGGCAGGGGCCACAGCGGCAGGTGAGGGGCAGCGTGAGTGTGGCCTGAGGGCTGGTCAGTGTGCGCCTGCTGGTGCTCTGGCCGTGGCAGGCGTGTGGCCACGTCCCTCTGGACCTGCCCTGTGGTCTGGGGCACCTGTCTGAGCGCAGGTTGTTTCTGTACCCCTGTCTGGAGAGGCCGTGTGACGGGTCTGGGAGTGCGTCAAGGGGGACGGTGTGGGGTGCATCACGCTGAAGGAAGCGTGGACGAGGGCCAGCACTCTCCTCTCTAACGGGGAGATGGGGTCAGAAGGCAGCTTCAGGAAGACATTCCGGCCTGAGCCACGCCCCCAGACGCCCTTGCAGAATATGCTTGGCCCTTGCCCTCCAGGGCAGGGTGTGGGGGTGAGAAAGAACCAGTGGCTCCTTTTCCGCCGGAAAATTACCCCGATAATTACGGATGGGGGTGTAGGGAGAACATGGAGGATGGGCGGGCAGGCTAGGCCCCGGCAAGAGGCAGCTCTAGCAACGGCGTGACCGGCATGTCCAGCAGGGTGAGGCTGCGGTGGGGACGCCAAGACTCTGCCCGGGACACTGGGGTCCCACCAGCAAGTTCCACCCCCACTGGCAGGGCAAGGGCTGGGCGGGACCTTTCTCCCAGTTTAAACAGCTGCCTCTGATTACACCACTCGCTGGGGGCAGGGAAGGCGGGGGCGGCGGGCCAGGCTGGGGTGGGGCTCTGGGGAGACTGGGCGAGCTGGTGGCCTTTGGCCTGGGAGCCTGAGGGTCAGCAGGGGACCCAGTAAGATGTGGGGGTCCCTGCCAACGTGCAGGAGGGCCGGGGTGGGGGCAGGCCAACAGGAGGGAGGCTGAGTAGCGCCTTCCCACAGAGCCGTCAGCCCAGGAGACAGCCTCCGGCAGGCCTGGGGGCCATGCGGCCACGGCGGGCAGCTCGAGGTGCCACGTCTGGGCTTGACGGACAACACGCCGGCGCTTTGAAGGGGGAGAGGACAGCTTAGCTGCGTCACAACCAACAGTTAACAGCAAGGGCCACGCCGGGCCACGAGCCTGCTGTCCCCATCCCAGGCTGCCCTAGGCCAAAAGGGAAAGGGAGAACTTAGGGGTCGGGGCACTCACAAATCTCAGGGGCCTCATCTGACCCGTCCGGACAGTCCCTCTCGCCGTCACACCGCCAGCCTTTGGAGATACAGGTGATCTGGTCTCTGCACGCAAACTGTTTGGGGCTGCATGTCTTCGGGGCTAGGAGCAGGGAAAGGAAAGGGAGGCGTAACTCAAGGGTGGAGATGACTTCCCGGGTCCTGAATCCCCGAGGGCGCCTCCTGCTGCGGCATCACCGTCCCCCTGGCCCAGACTCTGGGCCACAGTCCATGTGCCGGGGGGAGCAGGTACCTGTGGGTTACTTTGGGGGCACAGTGTTGGCGGGGGGGGGGGGGGCTCACTTTCTTGCCCCCACTCCAGCTCCCCAGGCTGCCTGCCTACTGCATCCCTCCCCCAGCCCTCAGTCAACACCCCTGCTGCTGGCGGCCACGCGAGGCCGCTCTGACCAGCGCCCAGCCTGTATCGGGAGACATGGACCTTTGGGCCCGTGGCAGGTTCTCTGGACCGCGGGTTGCGAAATCTAGTCACGGTTTGGTTCGAGAGTGTTCCATTAAAAGCTATTTCATTATAGCGGCTAGGGAGGAAAATAATCCCCGTCAATATCGAACGCAATGACGTTATTCCAGGACCTAGTTTCATGATGTCACTTGGAGTCGCAGCTTCCAGGAAACCATTGGCCCTGTTAAGTGAGAACTTACTGTATCTTCTATTTTTTACTAGAGGCTCAGAGCTTCTTATCTAACGTCTCTGTTCCTCCACCCTCTGGCACACACTTGGTCCTGGGAAGCCATCACCCCACCCATCCCCAACTCCTAAATCCCAGGCCCCCAGAAGATGGTTATCAGCAGAGATACCGAAGGGCAGGACTGGGAAGGGCAGGGCAGGACAGCGCAGAGTCCTCTATCTGTCTTCATTCCCTGAAATCTAGGCTGTCTTTGTGGTTAGCCCTGCAGTAGGACTTTTAGCTGGGAAGCACCTAAAAGTTGGAGAGCTGAGGCAAGGGTGTGGCTGGGATGACCCCTAGGAACCGGCTTCGGCTCAGCCTACCTACAGAGGTACTGTATCTGGGTCTTGGACCTTTGCTGTCCCCTTCCACACACACCCTCATCCCCAGGGGCCTCCCTCTGCTCCCACCCAGTCTCCAAGAAATCACTAACAACGGTAACGCTAACTCTTACCGCAGGCTCAGTGTGTGGCCAGGACGAGGGGAAGCCCGTTCTATGCGTGTATGGCCTTCTTTAACCCTCTCTACAACGCGACAAGGCAGGTCTGCAAGTACCACTTCAGAAGCAAGCCTCAGGAAGGGACAAAGCCCCCAGCAGGCCGGCGATGAGCCAGGTACCAGACCCGTCTCGCTGAGTAAGGCCTCAGCAGGTGGCTGAGTAAGGCCTCAGCAGGCCGCACGCACAGAGACACGCTCAGAGCTGCCCCTCCCGACCCGCCACCAAGTCCCGCCTCCCCTCGGCCCCCACCCAGGGCAGGTTCCCAGCCTCCCGCTGCCTTTTCCTGGGCCTGTGTCGGTTGCATTCTCATTCAGCTGGCATGCACTGTGCCAGGCACTGCACTAGGCACTGGGGTGCCAAGGAGGGCCAGACGCCCCCCACCAGGAGCCCGGTCCCCTGGGAAGACAGCTGTACACGACAAATTGGAATCAGGACACGGCGAGCTCAGGGTTGGGTCAGAGTCTGAGCAAAGTATGTCAGGGCGCTGAGCGGGCGGCGCGTCTGAGGGGCCACACGGAGACAGCCTCCCTCCCTAACCCCATCTTTGGCAGAAGGGACGGCACTCAGGCCCCCAGCCAGCGTGAGAGTCAAGTTCAGGAAACACATCAAGGATGGCTCAGCCCGCCCCCCAGCCGGCCCCTTCCCCTACCCCCCACCCCGAGCAGGGAATAAAGGCCCCTTGAGGAGGTGGATAATGCTGAGTTCATTGCCCCACTGGGCCAGCTGTGAGGTCTTCCCGGGGAACTGCCCGCCAGCCTCGTTAGCATGCTGGGGACTCGTCCTCTTCCCCTGGCCAGCCCAGACTGGCTGGGGGGTGGCTTGAGGGGGCTGGAGTGGGACTAGGAGGCAGATGGGCAGTTTGGAGCCGAGAAACGGCCCCCGTGCCACCCCCGGCCTCCCACCTGGCCGGAGTGCGCGCTGCCCATGCCTCCTCGGGACAGAGCTCAGTCTGGGCCCGAGGTCACTGCTTGGTCAGGCCAATCCCCCTCGGCCAGTCCCAGCCGTGCTCCCCCCTCCCTTGGCGCTCATTCTGTCGTCGTCCCCCCCACCCGCTGTCCCTCACCCCCATTTTTGGCCTGAACTCGACAGAGGAAACAGCAGCTGGCGAACTCCGAAAGCTGGAATGAGAGAGATTCACAAACCAGATGTGCGCTGCAGAGGGAGGGGTGGGGGATGGGCGAGGGGCGCAAGAGGCGTCTCCGGGGGAGCCGGCAGAGGACGAGGGGGGCCGGGCACACCTCTCGAGGGCTGGGGCAGCGCAGGGACCATGGAAACTAGGTGGAAAGAACGTCTTTCCTGTCAGGGATAGTGGAGAGAGCCCCAGGAAACTCCGATTTGAAGGCTGGTCCTGCCTTTGATTTCCTTCAGGGCGAGGGGTGACCGGCCTACTCCGCGGGCCCGCAGGCCCCGCTCTGGGTCGCTGCGGCTGGGTCGCTGCGGCGGGGCGGTAGGAAACTTGTAATCCGCTTAGAGCCAGCCCTCACCCAGTGCCGGCACCCAGGGGCCCTCTGCGGCCTGCAGCTCAGACGAGGCCCTGAGCCAGGAGGACTGCCCCTCCCTGCCCCCCAAGCCTGGTGACCCTGGAGCTTCCCAGTGGGGGTTCACGCTCAGCACCTTCCTGAGCTGAAGCACTTACACACTCAACTCACTCAGACCCTCAAGACTCTTGGGGGGCGCCACTGGCATGCCCCCCACATGCCCCCCACACAAAGGAGGGGCTGGGCACGTGGAGCCCGTCGGGGAGCCCGTCGGGCCTCCATACAGCCAGGGTAACAGCAGGGGAAAGTCTCGGGCCTCTGGCCCTGAGGGAGGGCGCCAAGGGCTGGCGGTGGCCTCCGGAGCGAGCGCCTCAGAGAGGAGGGAGGACTTGGAGGAGGGAGAGGACAGAGCGGGACAGAGGGAGGAGGGAGGAGAAGGAGAGCACTAGAGAGGAGGAGAGCGAGGTTGCAGAGAGAACGCCAGGACACAGGGCCGTCTGTTCTCGGCTTTGCCTGGAGATGAATGTGACTGCCATGCTAACTGGCCAACACCCCTGCCCTCCCCCGCCCCCGCCCAACCCAGGCGCCCGGCCCAGCCACGGCCCCCAGAGCCAGGCCGGGAGGTGTAGCCTTGGGTGTCCAGACACAACACGGGCCCGGCCCGCGCCCCACAGCCCTGCTGGAGCCTTGGACGGCACCCCGAGTCCCACCTGGGCCCTTGGGGGTAGAGCAGGGAAGCGGCGAGTGCCAAGCCGGACCAGAGGGGGTGACGGCAAAGTACAGGCCCGAGGGGGTCTTCTCCAGAGGAGGGCCCATCTGCTGGTGCGCTCAGGAGCCTGAACCCCACGGAGGCGAACAGAGGGGAGACCTCAGGGGACTTGCCACGGGACGGAGAAACAGGAGGAGGGAACCAGGGGGAGACGCCTGGGCCCACAGCAGAGCTAGGCCGTGGGGGCGGGGGGTTCTGAAGGGGACCTCTAAGGGAGCAGACTGGCCGGGGGCGGCCTGGGCTGGGGCAGAATCCGCAGGGATCTCAACGTTTAGACATACGGGGTGGGGTAGCGGGGCCTCGCGGTCCGAACCGAGAGCTTTTCACTGAATTTTATGTATTTTGGGTGTTACCGGGTGACTCCTTCCCGCAGCTCAGTGAGGCTCAGACACATTTTTGTCATTCCTGAGTCTGGGCCTCTGCGCTGCGGCCTGGACAGAAGGACAGACAGGATGGCGTGGACTGCTGGGGGTGGGGAAGGGTCTCCCCCCCATCCTGAGTCAATATTGACTCAGCAGGACATCAGCCTGACCAGTGACCTCCCCACCATCTTGTCCTTTCCTCGCAAATGAAATTCAGACCCCCTGAACGCCTCTGGCCATCACCATAACTTCCCACGGGCCTGGATAAGCCCTTCCCAGTGTCCCCTGCCCGGGCAGCCAGCCCACCAGAAGCCCTGCGCCGGGCACCCCTTCCCCACCTCCCTGAGGCCCAGACCACAGGTCCTGGGGAGGCGTTGCCAGGCTCCCTCCTTCCTCTGAACTGTCTCCGTCCCCTCTTGCTCAGCCCACAAAGGGAATCAAGTTTCCTTCTTCCAGAAACATTCTCTCCAAAATTTATTCCCAAAATCAGCAGAGGGGGAAGACAGAGGCACTTGGAGGAAAGAAGGGAACAACACAAAAATGGCGAGGTGCGGGCAGGGAACATGGGGGCCCCTGGGGGAGAACCCTGTGCCCCCGGGGACACCCGGAGGCTGGAGGAGGTGGGGTGCAGACAGGCGAGGCAAACCAAGTGACGGAGCCGGACACCAGACAGGGGGCACCACCGAAGCTGGGCAAGGACGGCAGAGGCAGAAGTTCTGTGCACCAGGGTGACACACTGACAGACAGACAGACTGAGGCAAGCCAGACGGGAGGGCGGCTCGGCCCAGAGCTGCAGGACAGTGACACGGTGTCTGGGGCTGCACCTGGGGAGGAACCCCCGAGCCCAGGCGGGTGGGCGGCACAGCCTGCGCTGGGGACGGCCCTGCCCTGCCCATCCCACCGAGGAGACCCCGATAGGGGCACCGTCGCCCACAGACGCGGCGGGGAGGAAGACGGGGCTCTTCAGCCGCGAAGTCAAGACGCAGGGACAGTCTCATCACTCCTGGGGGGCAACAGGGAAAGGGCCCTCTGCCCCCCAGAGGCCGCACGGCCGCCTGGGCCGCTGGCCGGAAACACTCCAGAGTCAACTGCTTCCTTCTCCAAACAATGCAGGATCCTGCTTAGTGGGCTGAAATCTGGGACAAAGATGGGATGGAGCTGGCTCGGTCTCCCCAAATGCTCACTCCTGACGCCCACTTTCAACAGGCCCGGGGCCCCGTGTGGAGCCAACTACACCCAGAGTCCCCAAAGGGGATGAGCCCCGTGCGGCGTTAGACGGGAGGCTGCTGAGCCCACAGGCTGGGGAAGGGGGGTGCAGAGGGCGGCGAGGGGGGGCGTGGGGAAGTAAGGCCTCCTTGGGGCTCCAGGGCCACTGGAGTCAGGCAGGAGTTTGGAGCATCGCAGGGAGAGCGCTGAGAGGCGGCCGGACCTCGGCGGACCTCGGAGGACAAGGAAGGCCGGCAGGGTGGGGCAGGATCAGCACAGATAAAGCGGCGCGGGGAGTTCAGCAGGAAAAGGCCGCACAGGGCAGCCCCAGAGAGGCCTCCGAGGCCTCTGGGGGGGCGTCGGGGTCTGGGCCCCAGGGGCAGAACAGAGTCTGGAGCCTTCTCCCAGCCAGCCGGGGGCTGACACCTCTCACCTCACCTGTCCACCTGGTCTGGTGACCAGCAGAGCACTGGCTCCGGGCAGCGCGTCGCGGCCGACAAGTGTGGAGAGGCAGCGAGCCGCCCGACAAGACAAGACAAGACGTCCCCGCAGGGCCTCGGCCCCTGGCCGCTGCTACCCCGCTGTCCCCCACACTGCTGGCCGAAGAGCGAGGGCCTGGGGTGACTCGGGCACGGACAAGGCAGAGGCCTACAGGCTCCTGGGGCTGCTCTCCAGGAGGGAACGCGGCCAGCTGTGAGGGCCCAGGTGGGGAGGTTAAAGGTGAGGAAAGCGGTGCCAGGGGCTTCTGCCCCAGGGGACGAGGGAGAAAGTTCTGGACCTGAGGCGGAGGGAGCATGAGGGTGCATGAGGGTGGGATCAGAAAACACCCCAGACTGTCTCCAGGGGAGCCGGCCCTACAGTGACTCGTCCCCATCCCCAAAGAAGACTAGTGTGTGTTAGGGGAGGGGTCCCGGGGGCCCCCGGTCTGAGCTACAGTACAGCCGCGGATGGGGAGAAATGCCAAGGCGGGTGAGGAGACAGTTATGTCCAGTTTCCCTTTGCCACTGACCACCAAGCCACTCGGTGTGGCAAGTGAAGCTGCTTCAGAGGCCTGGGGGGCCGCCCCCCGGGCCGGTCCTGACCGGGCTGGGGACCTTCACCGCTGTCCACAGGGACCTCCCTTGTTCTGCCTAACTCCCCGGGGCTCCTGGTGGGCCTCGTCTCTTCAAAATGTTTTTCTAGACTTTTCAGACGCCACTGCGTGAGACCTCTGTGCCTCAGTTTCCCCTCCTACTGGGAGGACGGAGAACATGCATAAGGCAGGAGTCATGAACAGGACCGGCTGTGAGCCTGGCCCGGGGTACCGAAAGCAGCCTGTTTACTCATTTCAGATAAGTGAGGGAGTGGGGGGCGGGGGTCAGGCAGTCCGGAAGATGCCATTTGAGGGTCACCATACATTGCCTTTGTGGGCACAGCTACTTCCGGACCTCCTAACCTCCCTTCCCCCACTGAAGCAAGTAGGGGTTGGGGAGAGGGAGAGATAATCTGGTTTCAGAGAAAAACTTTCCCAATCCCAACCTGGCAAGATTTAGAAGATGGAGGAGGGGTGCACCATGGGGTTCGCCCAGTCTCCTCACTGGATGAGACTAAAGTGACAGGAAGGGGTGAGATCCCGCCCCTTCTCAAAACAGGGGCCCAGCCCAGCCCAACCCCATGACCCCAGACTAAAAAGCTTGGGCAAGACTTGAACCAATGACTCACAAGAGGAAAAATAGCTGACAGAAAAAAGGGAGAGGGGGCACCCCGTTTCAACAAACACGTCTCTGGCTCAAACCTAACTGCAGTACACTCTGGGGTGGGGGGGAAGGGAAGCGGAAAAGGAACACGTTTACCAAAAGGAGCCTCGAACAGGGGTGAGGGCACAGCCTCAGATCCCCCCCCCAACCTCCAACTCTCCTTCCAGTCCACTGCGATGGAGCCAGAAGTAGGGGAGAAGGCAGCCTCCTGCACCCCCTCCCAGCGTTCCAGGCCATTCTTCAGTCCCCTTCCCCAGTGATGACATCTGATGTTTTTTCATCCCCGAGCTCCCAGGAATTAAAAAGGAAAATTCAAAGTCACACAGCGTTGCCGCCCGGCTCTGCTCCCCAACACAGCCCTACCAGACCACTGCTGGAGGCCCTGAGGGGGGAAGTGCCCACTTCGGGACCCAGGCGGGCAGCCCAAGGATCCTGGACCCAGGCCTCCGGCCGCTGGCTCCACAGACCCCACACCCAAGCGGGGGGCCTCCCCGCGGCCCTCCCTCTTCCCACCCACAGTCTTCCCGGGCCTGCCTGCCCTCTGCCCAGCGGGCACTCCGACCTGGCTCCTACTTGGAGGCTCAGGAGCCTCGGAGCCCACAGCACAGGGCCCCCCCCCCCTTTTGCAGCCATACATTGCAAATCCAGATTCCTTCACAATTCAGATGGGGGTGGGCGGTGGAGATGCAGGCGGGCAGAGGCCCTCCCCGCCAGATAGGAAGACAAGGCCTCTGGATCCCAGGATCAGAAAAAGGGGGAGCCCTCTTCTCTCTTCCCAGGCTTCTGGCCTTTGTTTCGGCTGGGGGGTCCCAGAAGCATCATCTGCTCAGGGCCCCCATCCTCCAAACCGGACCCCCATCCCCGCCCCAGTCTGGCCGCAGCTGTGTCAGCTGGACCCGGATAACAAAAGGCACCCCTCCCGCGGCTCCCTTCCCCGAACGGACGCCGAGCGGGGCAGTGGGTGTCTCCGGGGGTCCTGGGGGCCGCGGGATCTCACTCACCGTCGATAGCAGCCGTGACCAGAGCTGAGAGCAGGGGCAGCAGCAGCAGCGGCGGCGGCGGGGTCAGCATGGTGTGGCTGATGCAAGCAGCAGCCCCCTCCCCTCTGGTCCTGCTACTTCTCGCCGTTGCCCCCCCCAATTGGGGGGTCCCCTTCTTTCCCCTCCCCCTCCTCTATTCTTATCCTGTCCTCCGGCAGAGCACACCAGGGCGTAGGTGAAGAGGTAGTGTTCTGAGCCCCTCGGTGAGGGCCTGCTTCTGGGGTACGCCCCCTCCCCCCAAATCCAAGCCCTTCACCCCCAGCTTTTCTCTCCTCTCCTCTTTCCCCCTCCCCGGGCGAAGCTCACAGCCCCATCTCCGAGCCGCCTCCGGCTGCAAAAATGCACAATTGGGAGGAGGCGGGGTGGGGGGTGGGGGGCGTGGACCCGGTGGGGGAGCCTTTGGAAGGGGCCTGATGGAGCTCTGGGGGCTCCCCTCGTTTCCGCCTCCTCAGTGCACGGGCCTGGAGCTCGCACCACTGTTCCCCGACTGAGGTGCCGCGGGTGGGGGGGGCGGGGGGGCAGAGGGAGGGGACGGGAGGAGGGAGGGAAGAAGGGGCGGGGAAAGAAGGGGGAGAAAGCGCTACGCGGCAACCCTGGGAGTGCGCATGCGTCCATTTGGCGCGCTGCCCTGGGGAGGGGGAGCCGGGGTGCTCCCGGGTTCGGGCTCTGGCGAGCGCTCCGGAGCGGGGTCCGCGCGGGCGAG